TTTGTCACATTGTGCCAATAACTTAACGAGTATGTAACATGAGCATACATTGTCCGACCTGGCACCAATACATTCCACCATTTTTAAGTACATAAAAATATCCGGGATGAGGAAGCTGCGCACCCTTCTCTCCTAAAATAAATCTTTAAAAAAAAAACACGCAAAACCACTTAAACGTTTCCTAAAGTGAGCTTCTTTACAGTTAGATGGTTAAAATTATGACACGCAAATTCGTACAATACAGGAACTGTTTTGGGAGTTTCCGTTTTACACATCGCCTACTTATTTACTCCCCCTCCCCGCAAACGATATTTCTAAGTCAATAATCTATGTTTTCATGTATTATATGTTGATTCGCTTTATAGCAGGTGTATTATTCAGAGAGAATTATAAAAAAGAAGAAATTTTACCTTGACCACGTCGGCCCAACTCTCTTGGAGTCGCGCAAGAGTCTAGTTAAACTAATGGTATAACTAAAAGTGGTTCCCTACATCATCCATTATTGTTGTTGATGTTGTTGTTTTTTTAAGTATATTCCTCCAGATTTCCGGATTAAAATTTAAGCAGTCTCAACAAAAAGTCTTCGAGATCCAAATTATGTTGTACTCTGCGTTTTGAATATGACAAATATTCAATCTATTGTATTCTCTACCCCTTTAAAATAATTTAAAGTAATTTGAAATTTAACTAAGCTAACTGAAAAAAATATATTGATCTTGGTGTGAGTTTTGTTTGAACCTCATAGCATTGTATGGGATTAGGGACAGACAATCAGTATATCAGTCTATATAAATGTATGCGGGATTGGAGTGACGGTTCTATCTTAACATCATTTAATCATATATCCACAGCTTAAAAAACTCGTTCGGAAAACGAGAGACATGGTCTAAATACATGCTGATAGGGAATGTGGAAACGTTACATCTTCATTCGTTTGTCATTGCACAGTTCGATATTCAGTTCTTAAAAGTATGTGTATTTAGACACAAATATTATATATATATATATATATATATATATATATATATATATATATATATATATATATATATATATATATATATATATATATATATATATATATATATATATCTGTGTGCGTGTTGCCAAGTACAAGCATATATGTGTTTACTGTTTATCTTAGCCATATTTCATGTAAAAGTAATGGAAAAGAAGACCGCATAGCTTACAGATTTAGCATCATTATACAAAGCAATCATCTGGCTACTAGAATACAATGAAGATCACAGATGGAAAATGAATTGTAGGAATAGATAAAAAATGGACATGAAATGGCACGATAACAGCAACAGCTGTGAACTTATGCCGTTTATACCAAGTTATTAAACGTAATAACTTCTGTATAATAAAGGTATTGGTTGATAAAAAAAAACCATTCCTACGTTAAGGCTGAGTTAAAATTTCCAAGATGGCGATTGAACGACAATTAGTGAACTCTCGTTACAACGACCTTACGTTTAAACGAAACATGCTGGCCCCGATAGATAATGGCTTAGAACGTGTTCAATGATATAATTAATCTTTATGGCTTCATTATTGTGCAACGCACAATATTTTGGTTTGGTTGGACTTAGCCTTATAGGGTTATTTTCCAAAGTGGCATTTTTTTTTTACAGTCGTGATCATTTTGATTAGTTATTAGAGTATTATAGACGTGCATAAACCATGCGTGTTTGGACTGGATTGAGCCCAGGTATTTTGTCTGAAACGTGCACAGCAAACTTTGATTGTCATGATCTGTAAAACGGAATATTCAGATGGCGATTCCGACAGCAATTACCCAGTAATAAGCCTGCACATGACAACAATTACCCAGAATCAAACATACACAGATATCAATTGCTCATTAATAAACAATCACATGACAGCAATTACCAAGTAATAAGCATGCACATGACAACAATTACCCAGTATCAAACATACACAGATATCAATGGCCCAGTAATAGACACACACATATATCAATTATCCTGTCACAAAGATACAAACGACAACATTTACCCAATAACAAACATACGCATTAGCAAAAATTTACTGAATAACAAATATACACATAACAGCAATAACACAGTACACATTAAAAGCAATTACAAATTTCCTTTATCTTTTTTTTGCAATAAGATTTTCATTGCTTGGAATATTAATTTTAGCAAAAAAAATGTATCATTAGATAGCATGCAAACATATTGTTTCCGTAATAAAAAAAAAACACGTAAATGCAGGAAAACTTTAATGAGATTTAGAAATATAATTAGGATAATATAATATACTATGTGTACAATTGTACTTCTGACTCGCTTTTAACTTTTATTCATGCTAGTCTGCCAGTGGCACGATATAGGCGGTGACACCTCGAACTTAGACGATTGATCTTTACAAGCTAGTTTCGAAACTGCGATAAAAGAGCTGAGAAAAAATAGTTGACTGTATAAACAACATTCTATTTATCATTTTATATTGAATATAATCGCACAACTAACACGTGGATGACCAGCTATTGCGAAAGTAATCCGGGAGATAACGATTTTTGAATTATTGATCTTGCTAAAGTGAATAATCTTCTAACTTTTGCACCTAAGATAAGCCTGCCCGTGTCTCTTATTTAAGTACACGCAATCTTGATAAGAACTACTTGACCTCCAATTTAAATGTCTCGCATCTACATGCGTTGTTGTTATTGTTTTTTTTGTGGGTAGGTGATCAACGGACTGCCTGGTGGCCTAAGTGGCTAGAGCGTCGGCCTCAAATCCTAGAGTTCGCGGGTTCGAACTCCGGCCGAGTCGTACCAAAAACTTATGAAAATGGTACTAACAGCCGTCTCGTAGCGATGTGACTCAAATTGTTAAAGGTGCATTAAAAATCCAAACAAAATGTACATTCAAAGCTACCCTGTCGTTAATATATTGTTTATGTTTTATTTATTTATCTGTCATTTTCATAACGACATCAATAAAGAACCAGACGGTATATTATTGATTTTATCCATACCGCTTTCTTAATCGAAAATCAACGCTACTGAATTATGCATTGATGAATGTTTATGCAAGGAATTGAATTACACAAAAGGCTGTGTTCCTGCAGTTCATTGTTGTAATAAACATTCTTGCAAATATTTGAGTTTATAAGTTTTGCACAATTACTGCCACACTTTTGCATACTGGCACTCAGACAGGACCAGACTGATTCCGTACAAAATCGCGAGCTGATACAAATGCACAGGTCTACATCATTTGGAAAACCTGCCGTTTCAAGATGTTGTTGTTGTTGGTGGTGATGGTTTATCGTCACTTTCAAGACAGTATTGACTGCACATGGCGGTCAGTATAACTTATGGAGAAAAAAAAAACGGGCCAACCCCGGTAAAAACCACTAGACGCTATTAACAAGCTTTCTCACATACCGACATTGGTTGAGCCCAAGACTCAAACCTGTCTTATTATAAAGCATTATTTGAGTCCAAGTGGATGTTAATCTACCTGTCTAGATTATGTTATTTCTTCTGTCGTGATTTTGTGATAAAATAGCAAGTAACTTCAGACGAGGATGTACGTCTGAATGTTTTCCAATTCATTCTTTAAACGGAAAGCTATGTTGACAAGGACCTTGGTCGAGTTGGATAGAAAGAGAAATCCATTAGTGCAAATGCGGTTGACAGATTTGTTGAGAGGGTGGTTGTTGCTGTTTGTTGTATTATTTATTGTTGTGAGATGGTCTGGGATAAGACTGGTTAAGCTCTGCCCCAGAAATTGCATATGTATGTCTGCTATATTTTGTTAAATGGGTTTTCCCTGTGTTCAATTTTTTGTTTTTATTATAGTTAATACTACAGTTCAATTTTCTTCATTTTTTCATAAAATATAAATTTTCCTTTCGATTGTCAGGAATCTATAAAGAATAGTTGTGAGCTACACAGAAGTAGTGAATGTAAAGCTTAAAACTGTAAATAACAGCCGATGTATAATCGATTCTTATTATTATTATTATTATTATTATTATTATTATTATTATTATTATTATTATTATTATTATTATCATCATCATCATCATCATCATCATCATCATCATCATCATCATCATCATCATTATTATTATTATTATTATTATTATTATTATTATTATTATTATTATTATTATTATTATTATTATTATTATTATTATTATTACCTTAATAAAAAAAATTTCATTTATTGTTGTGAGATTATTTGGAATAAGTGTAGCCAAGAGCTCTCCCAGAGATTGTAAATGTATTACTACTAAATTTTATTTAAAAGTCTTCTCTGCATTACATTTCACTAGTGGTCAAGCTCTAACATTAGCCATCTATTTTACATACATTTCTACTGAATTTTTATCAATCATGGTGTCGTAGCTTTATGGTTCAAAAAGATGGCAATTAATCTTAGCTTTGCAACGCCTTGTTTATTACTACTTGTTGTCGCCGGCAGTTACGTACGGCTTCAATTATCTTCGCCTTTTCTTCAAAAGTTGAACACTCACTTTGGTCTGATGTCGGCAATAAATGACAAATAACCATTAACACAATCAGTCCACTCACAATTTTCTAGCAAGAGTTGTGTAGTAAAGGGAGGTAAGCAAGTTATTCTTAGTGACATATTATTTTCCCGGAATAAATCAAACCTTCATGAAGCGGATGAGTCTCGTTTGCCATTAAATATAACCTAACGACTATAAATTCAGTCAGCATTTTCCGTTAGCTTTTAAAGGCTCATATAATGTGCTTGTGTGTGCATTTGGATTTTTAACGTAGCTTTTACAATTTGAGTCATATCACTACGATGTCTGCAGTGTGGCAGTTTAAAGCGATGTCTATCACTAAAGCATAATGCCGCAGATACATGGCATTATATCCCACCCAGTCACATTATCCTGACACTAGGGCGACCAGTCCTAACTCTAACCTCTTTATGCTGAGCGCTAAGCGAGGCAGATTCTACTACAATTTGTATAAATCTTTGGTATGACTTGGCCAGGGTTCGAACCCGCGACCTCCCGCATCCGAGGCAGACGCTCTAACTACTCAGACCACCGGAGCGGTCAACAGTGGCAAAAAAAAATTTAAAAAAAATAATAATTTAAATGACTGTCGAACTGAATGTGTGTCTTATACAGATACCTGGAAATAATAATCATTTGTTGTATCTGTTGTTAGTGTTGCTGTAATTATGTTTCCGTGCTAAAGAAAGTACAGATAAATCAAAAATTAGTATTATTAGAGTTCAAAAACAGCAAAGAGCAACTATAAAATTTGCCACCCTAAAAATATGCTGCTAACACAAAAGGTCACTTTGTTATTTGTTGGGTGTTTAAAGTCATTTCATTGTAAACACATATATGTATATTGCAGAGACATTTCGAGTCAAGTGCTTGCACATGAACACACCGCGGCTGAAGACCTGACCTTGTTTGCGAAGGGTTTTGGACCTCCAACTTTATGGTCATGAGTGACTAGTCCGGCACGCTAACCGCTTAGCTCCTGTAGCTCAGTAACATCTTTTGCGCGGGAACTTAGTTCAGTTCCCATCAACTCCATCATTATATTTTCACTATTTTGTATTGGAGTATTCACCTAAATATTTGTTATTAAACTGAAATATTCACTCAAAAGTTTTGTTACCTAAAACCTGGTTTCGTTATTTGATTTTAACCATATCCCCCAAATTATCAGACACAACTAAGTTCAAAATTCTGAACGTCTGATTGGTCATTGATATGTCCAACATTTAAAAAGGCGTCGCCTGTGCATAAGCAATCATTTCATTTCTGTGCAAACACTGGAAACCTAATCCAGATGATGAAGAAGAAAATGCATCCACTCAATGTAGCACCTTCGGGAACGTTTACAGTAGAGAATTTTTCCTCTCCACAAATGAAAGGTCTTAAAGTTCTCTGAGAGATAAAATCACCAGGTGTGTATAAAAGAGTTTCGTAGAGAAGTGCATTATTTATTCTTTCCTTCTTTATTTATTTATTTATTTATTTCTTGCAATCCATAAGATCAACATGAGCAACAAAAGCGGCACGACATGATATTAACAAAAATTAATTTTGATGCATCGCTCCTTCGAGATTCATCTAGTTCAAGAATTGTGGGTATCAATACAAGGGGAGGAACTCTGACAAATCATATTCAAGTTATTTGTTTTCATTCTTTTCATTTCGACGCGTTGTATACTAAAGACAAATCGCATTTGATCAGTCTATCCTCGGTGCATGCTTGAGCATGGCAAAAGTTTATTCTTTAGATAACGCGTGCAGGAAACTTGCAAGAAATATTTAACAGTTGTACCCAGAAAATTTGAAAACCTGGATATGTAAAAGTTGCACCCTGTGAGTTTGGAATACAAGGTGTGGAACGTTTGTTCGCTGAGAGTTTGGAACGCATAGCATGCAAAAATTTGTGCTAAGGAAATTTGAAAGACAGTGGCATCAAAAGGACCTAAAGTCACTACAATTATATAGCTATGGTTTGCTCAGGCATGATTAAAGGTTATAAACGAAGATAGAGGGGGAATTTAAAATAATCATAGATTTTATTTATTAATCATAGCGTGTATACTCCGTTTAAAATATCTAAAAATTTGTACTCTTATTTTTAATTAAGGGACACTATCAGTAAATATTTCTTGCATCCCGAAAGCGTTTCTTTACACAAAGAATACGCGAGAGACACGATTTACCACATGTGAATAACCTCACTCGACGACGTCATACACAATCCAAATGCTCAGCAAGTTGTGTTCGCGTCTTGGTGTTATGTATTTCAAATTAATTTTTAGATAGTATGTATGTATGTATGTATGTATGTATGTATGTATGTATGTATGTATGTATGTATGTATGTATGTATGTATGTATGTATGTATGTATGTATGTATGTATGTATGTATGTATGTATGTATGTATGTATGTATGTATGTATGTATGTATGAGTGTGTGTGTGTGTGTGGCAGTGTAGGCATTCGTTTGAGAAGAAAACACTTGTTTGATCGAGTTGCAAAGCTGAAAAAAATAGGTGCTATTTTACAAATCTACGTCTTTGAAAAGGATGTATGTATGCATGCATGCATGTATGTATGTATGTATCTATGTATGTATGTATGTATGTATGTATGTATGTATGTATGTATGTATGTATGTATGTATGTATGTATGTATGTATGTATGTATGTATGTATGTGGATAAAGGCACATCAACACCATATTGGATAGATTGCTAAATAGGACAATATACCCTACAAGAGGCATATAAACAAGCGTAAAAGTCAAAAAGGTGTCCGATCCATAAAATACAAAGTCATTTCTAACACTGCAATCTTACCAACACCCCAACACACACCCCCCACAAACCTCAAAGGCCTCGTCATGGGGCTCATTACACGGTAGAAAGGTTTTCTCTATTAGTCTCCTCTTACGTCATGCAAAAGGGCACATCGTGCCTTTCGTAAATCAAAGAAGCCGCAGAGGGGGGGGTCGAAAATGGTTTTTATCCCCTTGCATACGCATGCATATATTACATATTGTGTACCAAGACAGCTGTATGAGGTCGGATAAATTGTAACACCATTAAATTCATGGACAACTTATTTTCTTTCCATGTGGATTATATTCTTCGTTTCGATATTCAAAATTAATGATCTTAGTTGACACGTCAATATGAAAAACACCTGTCTACACAGGACGAATGTCTGTGGTGCCTTCAGCAGGTTTGTAATAGGTGTCTTTTCACACTGTAAGTAATCAAATGGTACTGCTTCTGATTGGTTATGTGTGTATTGGTTTCAGTTTTTATCTGTGGATGCATGATTACTTGATTTTATTGTTTAGTGCAGAATGGATATTGATGTTCGTTTCTGTTATGTTTGTAGCCATTGTTTTATCTAGACAGGGTGGGGTTGGGGAGTTGTCATTGGGAAACACTCCGTTCTTCTTATTAATACCAAGCGTGAAATCTAAATGCATTTGGTTTGCTCGGTTTGTCTTGCATCTCAGAGCTCATGCTCTTTCATAATATATTGCTTTTTGAGGGCGTTTTGTTTGGCCTGTGGGTCATTTACACTGTAGTCCATTATATCTGAATGTTAGTACCATAGCACACTGAATGAATCATAGAAAACTTAACATCACAGATTCAATTCCAAAACAATTAAGTCCTCTAAAGACCTGACGCTCTACTGGCTGAAAGATTTTCCAGGAATCTAAGGTACGACTATTTCTTCCTTTAAACTGCTAAGTGATGAAATCGTCTCAGATATTCTACAATGATAACAAGATTTTAAAATTAGCCGCTTTTGCTGACATATTAGCTGTCAGGTTTGCACCATTTGTATTTATAACAAAGAAGGCATGATAAGAAGTCTTCTGGTGGAAACCCCGTGTAGATATGACCTTCCGTTTTGGAGGAGTAACGATAAAAAATTTTCAAGATGGATGTCATGGTGGCCATATTTGACATTAGACTGGCACCATTTCTATTTCGCATCAAATAGATATGATAATGGGGGTTGGGGTTGGTGCATGCACAATGTCGATATGACAAACAATCTACGAGAAGCAATGATAACAAGATTTTCAAAGTTGCCATTGTGGCAGTCATATTACAAGTCGGGTAGGCAACATATTCGTTTACAACAAACTAAGATGTCTTTCAGTGAGAATTTCACGCTAATATGACTATTCACTTAGGAGAAATGGTTATAACAAGATTTTTAGGATGTCCATTTGGCAGGTATACTGAATATTTAAATGGCGCCATTAAGACCAACAAGACATTATAAACGTAGGTACAGTAACAATGCCATGTTCACCCATCCAATCATTCATGGACAGCATTGAAAACACGATCTTCAAGATGGCTGCTTTGCATGGATTCAAGGTCAAGTCCAATATACAATGTTACATTACAATAGCATATAATGAAATAAAATAAAATAAAACCAACAAAGCAAATTAATTATACATAAACATCTCATTAATTAATCATACCAATAACTGATAGGGCACATCACTAATTGTTACTGCATCTCAATACTTGATATGTCTCATTAACTGAATATATATATATATATATATATATATATATATATATATATATATATATATATATATATATATATATATATATATTAGGTCGAACTTAAAAGGCATGTGGTCCGATTAGGTTCCGTTAGTTGTATCCGAAAGTTGAACAGGACACGGACATACTGTCATTATCACAGATCATATAATTTAACGTTTGCTTTGCTATTATGACGACACATTGTTAGACGTTAGCTGCAGTCCCAGATTTGCTACCATTAAATATATGTTTGCTGTTCATTGTCATTTTAGTGGTACGAGTAGGGTGTTACCACGGGAGGTAAATCCTTGCACTTAATTCAATAAATGCGACAGTTCTACTTTCTTCCCTTTAAGCTTTGACTTAAAGTTATTCAACTACATTTGTATCTCCAAAGCAAAGTCTGAATGAGTGGCTGTACTATTTCCTCGATTTAATAGGATTTAATCATATTAATATTAAAGGTATTTATTCCTAAAATAACATGTATTGCTTGTATTACTTTTTCATAGTCTGTCTACCTGTCTTTCCGAAATGATATGTTTTTTATCGGTATCTTTACAATTTTATTACAGTGAATTATTCATTATCTCCTTAATTTTTAACTATTTAATAGTTTTTTTTTCTAAGTTATCTTGTCTCCAATATTTATTGATTTATCTTTCGTTCTGATCGCTTCCATTGTCTACACCAATCTGTATTCACACACAGTAACATTTTAAACTCAATCCAGACATTATACAGTCTCACACTTAGTTTGTTTCTGATATTTCAGTTATTCCTTCTCTTTGCTTAAATCTTGTTCACTCTTGAAACATTTCACAAACGTGAACATTAAAATCATTTAAAATATCAAACTGGACTTGGTTCTGTTGATTTCACATAAAGTCTCAACTCATTTAGTCTTTCTAGAAATAAACAAATATTGTTTCCAGCTAATCAAGCTCTTCATCGGATGAAATGATTAACACACACACACAC